GAAGGAAAATACCTATTTATCATTGAATGAATAGTTAAAAGGATTCACCTTTTAATACAATACCTATATTACATTTGTCCTCAGTTAAAAAGACATTTATAAAATATATAACTTTAGTGTTAATAAAATGTAATATCCTAGTCTCTACTTCACATTTAAATTATTGATAGGTATTTTAAAGATTTGAGATTATATATCTATTTGCTCCAAGTAAGTATTCGTTAAATATGTATTATTATTTGTATTTATTTTTATCTAATAATATTTATTTAAGTTATTAATAAACATATTTTAAGAATGTTCTATTTTATTATTTATTGATATATCTTATATTTACTTAATAAAAATATGCAGAACCAACTCTCCACATTAGACCCCTTATAACAAATTAATTCTTCAAATTTGGTATAATCGACCTAAATTATTTTGTAAAATAAAAGTTTCGAACTTACTAGTTCCATACTTTATTTTATAAAATAATTTATGTGGAAATCATTTAAAATTTAATTTAAAACTACTACCTACTCCTAAAAATTACAATTTGAATTTACCGCCATCTGTCAATTGTCATTTTAGTTCCAGCTCCAAACACAAGGTGGCGCTAATTTGGTTTAAAAGTTTAACAATATGCTGCGTTTGAGAATCCACATCGGATGCATTTTTTACATCTCGAGCGTTTTTTTATCCACATCGGACACATCTGTCCCATTACATTTACGTATACTGAATCACGTGATCAAAGATTTTTTACATCTCAGATGCATCCGATGTGGATTCTCAAACGCAGCAATTGGCGTGGGGTCTCTAGAATGCTTTGTGAGTCGTCCTTGAACTAAAATCGAAGTTCGGTTACAACGTCTCTAAAGTTCCAGGTGGGTCTGGTGTAACACTGGAATTTAGAGATGGATATTAGCAAATTTGTTACTGTTACGTACATTTACAGATTTGTTACTACCCATCTCTAATTTCACGCGATATAACCCATGATATAACCGAACTTCGATTTTAGATCAAGGACGACTTACCCAAGTCCGACCACAAAGCCTTTGGCCCGTATTTATAAACAAAACTCAGCTGAGTCGGACTTGGGTAAGTCGTCCTTGAACGAAAATCCAAGTTCGGTTATATCGCGTGAATTTAGATATGTGTAGTAACAAATCCGTAAATGTACATAACCGTTACATATTTGCTAATATCCATCTTTAAATTCCAGTTTAACACCAGAACCACCTAGAACTTTAGAGACGTTGTAACCGAACTTTGATTTTAGTTCAAGGACGACTTACCCAAGTCCGACTCACGTAAGTTCTGTTTATAAATACGGGCCTTTGTGAGTCCAACTCAGCTGAGTTTTGTTAGTCGTCCTTGAACGAAAATCGAAGTTCGGTTATATCGCGTGAATTTAGAGATGGGTAGTAACAAATCCGTAAATGTACATAACAGTTACAGATTTGCTATTATCCATCTCTAAATTCTAGTTTAACACCAGAACCACCTAGAACTTTAGAGACGTTGTGACCGAACTTCGATTTCAGTTCAAGGACGACTTACCCAAGTCCGACTCACGTAAAGCTTAATTTATAACCGCCGTAACGTAACTTAAGAACTTAACGTAAGAAGTTGAAATAATAGAGAGTTTTAGCAAATGTACGTAAGATTTCCGCTAACGTTACGTTAAACTTAGATTGTGACCTTTTTCATTAACATTGAACGGAGTAGATTACAGTCTATCCCTAAGGTAACGTTAGCGGATGGTTAGCGGCTGTTTGCTAAAACTCCCTATTGAATTTACGTATACTTATTTATAATGTTGGTAACGTAACTTAGGACCGATTCCACCGTTGTGTTAAACGGAGATTAAAATGACATTGTTAATGTAAAAATGTCATTTTAAACTTCGTTTAACACAACGGTGGAATCGGTACTTAAGAACTTAAACGTACTGTAGAAAGTTCGCCAACTTTTAAGAACTTAACGTACCGTAGAAAGTTCGCCAACTTTTAACTTAACAACTTAACTTAACTTAAGACCTTACGGTTAGCCAATGAGATAATTCTGAGTTCAGCATGTGATAACTGTCAATTATTCTATTTTTATTTTTTTTATAAATGAATAGACAAATACCATTTTTAAACTATCATTCTCCTTTTGATGGACATACACATTATCATGAATGATTTGTGTTTATGTTATTGGGGATAAACTCTTTATGAGATATGAGTGTTGCTGCATATACCTATAAACATCAAGTCTGGAACTGAAATAAGACACAAAATTAGTTCGCTAGGAAAGATTAAATTCTCATTATTGCTCAAAAACAATCAACATCTTCGGTAAACTATTCTGTTTTATTATATTTCTATATTATTGCTTTTAAAGTAGTTAATATATTCTTTCTATATAGCAAAATCATAATTTATAAGTTTTATTTAGAGGTTAGGTACATAGTTTACACTTGTTTATTTCATAAGGTTGTCAGTAATTTGATAATCTCTGAAATCAACACGCATGCTCAACTCTTACGTTACGGACATTTATAAATAGACTATATTTTTATATCTTAGGTTAAGTTTCTACGGCGTTAAGTTAAGTTACGTTACGGTAGTTATAAATTATACTTTAACTTAACAACTTAACTTAAGACCTTACGGTTAGCCAATGAGATAATTCTGAGTTCAGCATGTGATAACTGTCAATTATTCTCTTTTTATAAATAAATGAACAAATACCATTTGTAAACTATCATTCTCCTTTTTGAAGGAGATACATTGTAATGAATGATTTGTGTTTATGTTATTGGGGATAAACTATTTATGAGATATGAGTGTTGCACATAATATACCTATAAATATCAAGTCTAGAACTAAAAAAAGACACAAAACTACTTTGCTAGGAAACATTAAATTCTCATTATTGCTCAAAAACAATCAACATCTTCGGTAAACTATTCTGTTTTATTATATTTTTATATTATTGCTTTTGAAGTAGTTAATATATTCTTTTATATAGCAAAATCATAATTTATAAGTTTTATTTAGAGGTTAGGTACATAGTTTACACTTGTTTATTTCATAAGGTTGTCAGTAGTTTGATAATCTCTGAAATCAACACGCATGCTCAACTCTTACGTTACGGACATTTATAAATAGACTTTATTTTTCTATCTACGGCGTTAAAATAAGTTACGTTACGGTGGTTATAAATTATACTTAAGTTCTGTTTATAAATACGGGCCTAAAACACCCAATGAACTGGAGTGGGGTAGAATGCTTGTCAATAGACTTGATGTGCGACTCTATGGGCGAAGATAGGTTATTTTTTATCTCACTCGGGAGTATTTAAAATAGCCAGTTTCTATTTCACATTGTTATTGTCTGATCCACCAGCTTGTGGATTGAACAATAACAATGTGAAACAGAAAATGGTTATTATAAATAGTCCCGAGTGAGATGAACAATAAAAATGGCTGCGCCCATCGAGTCGCACCTTGTTCTAATAGTAAAACATGTACATTGGCATTCTACCCCCCCTCCAGTTCATTGAAAACACCTCACAGGCCAAATATATTAATTAATAAGATGGAGGCCAAAAACAAGGAAGATGAACTGTCATACTGTCAAAATTAGTTTTGGTTTCGTAGCACACTTCAGAGCAGTGTTGCCGTTGCTATTACAATTGTAACAAATCTATTACTAAAAAGTTACACCAGTACGTTATTACGACTTTTAAGAAAAGAGGAAAAATCTATTACCTTTTAAAATATCAAAATTTTATGAGTGGCTCCATTTAAACTTCAGAGCCCATACTTAAAAAAATTAGAATTCTATACATTTGTTATTTCTGTGTTTTCTTGTTTCAATAAATCCAAGATAGGCGTCACTTTATTATTATTATTGTATTATTTTTTTGTTATTATGGTCAGTTTATAGTTTAGTAGGGGATAACCACCAGCCTCCAGCATAATTTATATATTGTTTTTAATAACGTAGACCCCTTCAAGACTGAAGAAATACTAAATTACAAAAATTTACCCTTAGGTGAATTTTGGGCTAACATCTTTAAAATAAAAAAAAAACACTGCATGAACCAAATGTTTAAAATTTACAAAAACTAATTTGTGGTTTATTTTCATTACCCCATTCTTTTGCAGCAGCAGAAATAATTTTCTCTCAACTAAATAAGTTTTATTGTTAATAGTTATTTTTGCAACAAGTGCAAAAAGTGTTTATTGTACGCGACGTGAAATTGTCAGGCCGAGTTGGACAACAATGTCGAGTGCAATAAACACTTTTTGTACGAGTTGCATACAATATTTTTTCTACGTTCATGCAAAAATCAAAAAATGTTTTATAGAACTGCAGTTGTATTATCCAAATCATATGCTGCGTTTGAGAATCCACATCGGATGCATCTGAGATGTAAAAAATCTTTGATCACGTGATTCAGTATACGTAAATGTAATGAGACAGATGTGTCCGATGTGGATAAAAAAACGCTCGAGATGTAAAAAATGCATCCGATGTGGCTTCTCAAACGCAGCAATAGTAGCCGCGATCGTGTACCTTTGTTTGAGGCATTTATTTACGTTTGTGTTCATAATTTGTAATTATATTTTTAATAAAATACATTTTTTATTAATTTATTTATTAAATGATTGAAAATAATATAAAATATGCAATTGTTTTTAAAACGTAACACAGAAAATGAAAATGGACTAATTATTTGGCGTTGATTTGAATATTTATGTTTGTCATGATCATAAAACGCTGTAGTAAAATGACAGATGAGTGCAATAAAATTTTTATTGCACTAGTGCAATAAAGACCCAGTTTTTTCACTAAATATAGTTCAATAAAATTTTGTTTTTTGCATGAACGTAGAAAAATGTATTTAATAATAGTTCTGGTACATTTTATGTTACTTTAAAATATTATCTATTACGATTTTATTACCTTTTGCTTCAAAATTCTATTACGAAAAAATTAATTGGTGTGGCAACACTGCTTCAGACCGATTAGAATTTCTGACAATACAATCTGACTTTTTACAATTTTCACGCCAGATTTTTATTGTACTTATTGCATTTTCTATGTTTAAAAATCGGACTGCACAAGATTTTAATAAACAAAGTGTGAGAATATGTAATATTCGTGAGATCTGAACGTTTGTAAACATTTATTGAATATTAAGAACATTAATTAGGTAGTTTGATTTCACCAGGGTCATGTGTTTCTACGATTTTTTGGAACATGTAAATACCTCCGCATACTTTTGTTAAGAAAAAACAATTATTTTTCATCATGGAAGCTCAAAAAAAGATCCTGAGGGGTCTTGTAACTGCTACCCCGACAGCTATAACCGTCCAGCAGCTAGCCATAGAATACAGAAATACCATAGGTGAACCTATTCCTTATCAAAAATTTGGATATAATTCATTGGAACATTTCTTTCGCTCTATTCCGGACACTATACAAGTGAGTTAAATTTTTTATTTTTAAGTAAAAAAAAATAGTATTCAACTACTCAAGTGAGAGAGATAGGTAAACAAACACAAAATCAGTAGCACAAAAATTATGTAATTTGAATATTACAAGGTAACTGGGTAATGTAGTTGACGGGTCTAGAAATGCCCATATTTACACCACTATGCTGACATCTTAAATTTGAATTTGACATAAATTTAATGAGTGTGTAGTAGTCCGTTGATTCATAATATACTTTTTCTGCATTTAGATATGTAATTTACCAGGGAAAACTTTATTTTTGTAAAATTGTAGGTATACTAGATATATTTTCAAATTCAAAGCTAAGAGCATTACTTTTTTAAATTGTAGTAAAGATATATAATAATTATTATTATGCAAGCTGAATATTACCAGACTGTAATTTGCAGTGCCATAAATTTATTTGGCAAACCTGGCAACATTGTGTTTGAATTCATATTGTCCTCATTTCGTAGCTCTTTAAGTAGACCAGTTTGAGAGTGGTTCTGGAAGTACATGCAACATTGCTACATTTGCCAGAAAATATAAATTTGCATCATAATTACAGTCTGACAATACTCAATTTAAGTAATAATACATAAAATACTTCTATATAATTTATCAAAATTGAAAATTAACATGTAAATTATATATCTAAATGCTGAATAAGTATGATATAATGATATATCCGACCATCGCACTCTATTTAGCCATTAAATGATAAAATGCATAATTCACTCCCCATCAACCCCTATGCACTACATACCTCAACAAAAATAAATAGCAACCATCTACTTGTCATATATCATTGGAAAGCTAGTAAAAATGCTTTTCAGTGATATAATTTATAGCCCATACTTAAGTCAAATAGCACCTAATAATTAAAAACTTATTTAAAAAGAAGATGACATGTTCATCTGAATTTATTTAATGGGACTATCCCCAATTAAAATACAGAAAGGAAAAGGTGATAAAAATTTCTTAAGCTAAAACTGAAAACTAAATTCAATTTTAAATTATTTTTTTTTTAAATATAAAGTCAATACTTATGTTTTTAAATATTTCTCTTGCCAAGAAGTACAAAATAAATTGTTTTTATTAAGATGGATATTCATTATAGCATTTTGGCCAGAACAAGCCCAGCCAAAGTTTGCCAAGTCAGTACATGTCTCCTAGCAGATCGAGTCAAACTTTATCGGCAGGTTGTCAGTTTATGTGTGTTCTCAAAGAGATGTAGATGTTTGTTTTTGTTCAGTGGAAATGGAAGTTTGTCTCGTTCGCTTCAAACAAGCATACATGCCAATTTTTTGGAGCAATTTGATTGAATGTTTTATTTTTTTTGTATACAGTTCTTCTACCAGTTCTAGGGCCCACTAAGCATATTAGTTTTTGAGACTCCTCTGTTGACATTTGCTTGAAATTTTTCAAATGAATACTGTCCATATCCCTCAGTAGTGTTCCATTTTGATGCTGCAAGACCAAACGCCTTGTTGTTAACTATAAATCTACAAATAATTTACTATAAATACCTTTTTTGGTATTTGAATTAATTTTTGTATGCTTATGGTGTCTATCTCAACATTCAAACTGCATTCATGAGCTAAAAAATCAACTTACCTGTGAAATGAAAGATCAATTGTAAAAAGTTCATTTTTCATAAACTACTGTTGATCCATGTTGATGCTATGCTATCTAATTACTTATAAGCAAACAACTCAAAAAGCAAACTTTTCACAAACAAAAATAATAGCTGCAACCAACAAGCTCGAAAGAATTTTGATCTTAAAGGGGAAAAACTATAAGACAAAAGAGTTTAATATCTTTGCAAAAATGAAAGTGATAGGGCCATATGGTTGTGCAAATGATGTGTAAGAATTCATGTATACAAATTTTTTCGATGACAATAATATATTAATAATAATTGGAAAAAGTGAGAATCTTTATGAAAATATATTGTCAATTTGCAATAAATGAAATAAATATTGCTATTTAACAAATTAATTTTTTACTAAAATCATTCAATTATTTCTATATTGTTTGTTAAAATATAATGATTTTTCAAAAATTTAGATACTTTTCTTAGTATTTATGTATTAATTTAAATAACATTAAGAAATATACTTTTAATGTGTAATTTGTTGAAAAACTCTTGACCAAATTGATTGTTTATTTAACATTTGATTTGCAGAAATGTATTCATCTTTAAATAGTGTTTATTATTAATAATATTATTTGCTATGTTTGAAAAGTACCTCCTGCTGCAGAACAGATCGAATAGATTAGACTACTAGTTGGAGAAGGTCCACCTAGTAACCAAATTAGGAGATTAGGAAAACTTTTACATGACTGGGGACACAACAGTAATGCACACACACACAGGATACACAAACAAATGAAATAACAGGGGTAAGCCTTCAGCAACGTCCTGTTTAAATGATGATAGTATGTCATCCTTCATTCCCTTTTAGAAGGCATGGCATATAAATCTATTAACATTTGTGTTGAGTGTATGTGTGTTTGTTTCGTTTCCATGGTTTCTATTAAAATAAACAGTCATAACATATCAATACCTTCTTGCCAGACTAATGTAAATGACATTTGTTCAAGTGGCACTTATGATAGTCTGGCAAAAAGGTATTGATATACTCTATACTTTATAAAATATTTGTTACATTGGTTTTTAAATATATTATGAATATATAACAACTGTTACTTTCTTTGTAATTTGTCACAAAATGATACGAGGTACTTTCTAAACCAAGCAATTGTAGTTTGTTTTTCTGTACCTTACAAAAATATAATTTATAGAAGAAGAGTTTGGTGTATTATTTTTCCAAGTTTAAATATTTAATAATCAATAGAATTTTTAAGTTTTTTTTTAGCGAAATTTACAAGAGTAATAAAAAGTATGTTCACTGAAAGAAAAAATTTCTTCACCTAATTTATTTAAGTATTAAATATACAATTTGTTTAATAATTATATCTGAATGTGTTTTGTTCCAGTTATTTAAAAAAAATAGTTAATTTAAATATTTTAAATTAGTTGAATTTAGTTTAAGTTTTAGCTTAAAGAACATTTTTATTGCCTCATCTATATTTTTATTGGGGATAGTCCCCTTAAATAAATAAATAAATAAATTGTGTAGTTTATGAAATCTACTAATTTGTATTATTATTATTATTATTAGATTCAGGGCTACGGACCATTTGCTCTTGTGAATCCAGTTGTTTCTAATAAATCTTCTCACGTTATGGCATTAGTATCTAAGCAAAAAATTGAAGTGAAAAGGGGTAGACATAGGATGCCCCTAATGTAAGTATTTTTTGGAAATATATATACATTTTATTTTTAATTGAGATATATTTTTAGGAGAAGGCATGTAGTTGTAACTACAGATTTTTTAAAAAATTCAATACCTAATCCCAGACCTCAACCACAGAAAATGTACTATCCACCTGCAAATACAAAAACTATGACCTCTTCCCAGACTACCACTATTTCAAATATAAAAAACTCATCTTCTGATTCTCAAGTTGTTTCTGACAGCTCATGTCCCTTATCTGGCAATTCTGTAGAAAATAAAAGGCCTACAAGCTTTGTTTCAAGTAAAAATGCTGTCGTTGAAAAGCCTCCTGTTAGTTATAAATCTAATAACGCCGATCATAAGGTAAAACAATTTACTGCTACGAAACTACGTAATAGTCATTCATCTTCAAAATTACCAGAGAAGGATTATGATTGTATTCCTAGCAGAAGGAACAATATTTTTGACAAGCAGACTAATTCTAGCATTACTACTGAATCAAATAATAATATTCCAATGGAAGATTCAGAAGAATCTGTGCCAGTTAGTGTTAAGAATAATCTCAAAAATTTGATTGGCCAATATCCAGATGGGATATGGTGTGCTGATGTTCCAGGTGTATACAGGTTAGTATAGCTTTGAATATAGACAGTATTTTCCTTTTAATTCATAACAAACCTACTGTAATATATTTGTAGAAATACCCCTCACTAGTGTATAAATATTTCTAATAACACAATGTAGTACAGTGAATCTTCTGAACTTTTACTATATATTTTTATTATTGTTGCTATATACTTTTTATTATTTGGAGTTGTTTGGGAACAGATGAGGGGACCTGGTAGCTGAAATATGTAGAAAATAAGTGAAAAAATTGCGAAACAACTGGAATAATCGTTCATTTTTATTAATTTATTTATTTATTTATTTATTTATTTATTTCTTTCTTTGTTTATTTATTTTATTTATTTATTTATTTATTTATTTATATTTTTACTTACTTACTAGGAATAGAAATTGCCTAGATCATAGTTTTCTTAAAAGTAAAATTACTGACCTCACATATTTACCAATAATTCTAGGAACACAAGTAAAAGACCATAAGCCAACCATACTAAATATCTTATTTTCTAAAATAAAAAAATTGAATTGATTAATGAGCACTACAAATGAGGGGTATAGTTTCAAAGTGTACAATCTACATATTTTATAAAAAATGAGATAGATGTCACATTACATAGAATTTGTAGCCCTGAAATCAAATAATTAATAATTTCTTTTCAAAATGTACAATCTCCATTGACATCTAAGTTTGAAACTGTACAATCTCCAATCCGATTTAAAAAATCAAAGTGGGTTTTATGTTGTTAGTTTTGAATTATTTCAAAGCCTGCAAAATCCTGTACAGACTTGTCAATGATATTTCGCGCTAAAACCATTCTAAGTTAGTTGCACGTGATTCGTGAAGCAGTAAAGTTTGTTTTCTAGTTTTTTCCTATTTTTCACGATTTTTTTAAAGTAATAATGAAAGTGAACGTTATTCCAATAACCAGTAATAAATAGGGTTGCCAGACGTCACGCTTTTTGACTTGCTTGTACCATAGAAATAGTATTGAAAGCCAAATCCATATACAGTGTGTCTACTTAAGTTGGAACCATACGAAAAAAAAATGTATTATTGATTTTAGGAAAAAAAGTTATTCTTGATAAAAAGTCCTGCATGACCCAAAACTTAAAATACAGTCATCAGATATCAAATTTTTCAAGCCGTATATAGTCTTTCTAGACACAATCCAACACGGCATTATAACCGACTAGCGCCGACTTCAAAGGGACCGCGCACATGGGCGTATCCTTTTTTATTATTAAAATTAAATTAATTGGGTATGATTCTTCCATTATCAATAATTGGAAGGCATTAAATGCCGTTATTTAGACAGATGCACTTAATTATAGTTCTACTTGAAACTTAATAAAAAATGATTATTATAGCTCGTTAACTTGCTACAACTGAATATTAAATTATAAAACGTAAATTGACGAGTAAAATGTTCCTGCCTGTAAGGGCGTTTGGTTTAAACAGGGTACCAGACGTGAACTGAACCCTTTTTTCTTTCTTTACAAATAAAACAAAACTATAAATGTATTAATGTGATGACTCTCGGATTACCAATAATGAAAAATAAGAAAGTTAATCCGAATCTAAATCAGAACCATCTGTCGAGGAATCGAGGTTTGGATTTATAACTACTGGAGGGAGCTATAAAAGGTAAAACACAATATTCTTTTTCCTTTTTAATGACGTGATTAATGCTGTTTTTCCAAAACCAAATCTGTTAAGGTAGGTGCAAAATTATTACGTCTCAGTTTTTGTTCAACTGAAGACCAAACTAACTCGATTGGATTAAGTATACAATAATAAGGTGGTAACATCAATACAGTATGACCACCATCTTTTGCAAAATTATCAATATAATACTGTATTGGAAAATTCTTACTTTTAACAATTTCTAACAATTGTGGTTTTGTTTTTACGGAAGCAGGAATATCAATGTTATTATCTTTTAAATATTGTATTATAATTGATTTCTTAGGGCCACTATTTGGCTTCTTATGAATTTGCCAGGAATGATATGACGCATTGTCCATTACAATGACTGAATTTGGTGAAATATTCGGTAAAAGTTGTTCAGCAAACCAGTTCTCAAAAACTGCAGCATTCATGTCTTCATGATAATCCAGCAGAGCTTTATTGATATTTTTTGCTGAAAGTAGCAAAGCGTTTGGTACAAAGCCATTTTCATTTATGACTTGTTTCTCCCTCAAGCATGGTGCATTTAAAACACAATTTTGTGAACCGTCTGCCCAACCACGTTGAACGACATCATGAGTGTCGAACCATGTTTCATCTAAATAAACTATATTTCTATTGTTATTTCTAAATTTAAAAATTTCCCATAAATAAATTTGACGTAATTCCACAATTCGACCCGACTCCATAATGCACATTCGGCTATCTAACTTTTTATATCTAAAACCACAAGTTATTAAAATTTCAGACTGCACGCTACTGAACAACAACATAATAACCGAAGAGTCCGAAGACCGGTCTTTACCGCGTCCCATAAATTATAAAAACTTATTTCGAACACGCCTCCAAGTTCCCGTTTGCGTGTTTTCATTGGTAGACAAAGAAGATGATGGGCTTGTGACACACGTCAATCAAGTCCACGTTGTCTAGCGGCTCCTGTGTTTTAAAAGGGGAGTGTACAATATTTTTCGCGCTTATTTGCAATATGAGGATATAGCATTCCCAGCGCTTATAACGTAAATTATTACGCTCCTCCGGTACAAACGCTATGTTGGATTGGTTTTAGAAAGAGTATACGAGGTTTGTCAAAAAATATGAATTTTGCTCAAGAGTAAAGTACATTTATTTTTGACAAAATCGAAAATTTTCATTAAGAAAAGTTGATTAGAATTGAAAATTACATTCAAATATGTAATTACACCGATCTATCTGAAAAATCAGATTTTTTCTAGATTTTGCATTGATCCACCTAATTACGGTAATCCATAATTTTTTCTCTCTCTTCTCTACTATAAATATGATACTCTTTCGTTTTCTTGATGTTTGTGTGAAGAATTTAGCAATTTTCTTAATGAACATTTTCGATTTTGTCAAAAATAAACGTTCTTTACTCTTGAGCAAAATTCATATTTTTTGACAAACCTCGTATACGGCTTGAAAAATTTAATATCTGATGACTGCATTTTAAGTTTTGGGTCATGCAGGACTTTTTATCAAGAATAACTTTTTTCCTAAAATCAATAATAATTTTTTTTTTCATATGGTTCCAACTTAAGTAGACACACTGTATAAAAATGAAACTATAAGGAGAAAATAGTGTGTCGGAGCTCATGCGCATAACGGTGCTGGCTCGGACAGGACCGGTGCAAGTTTTTTATTGATCGAATAGTTCACAAGATGTTTTAGGTTGGAAGTCATACATTTTTAGAGATGACACATCGTCGGAAAGGTAATTTTATGGGGAATTCAGCAATATAACTGTTCATTGCGTTCCTTTTAATTTTAGCGCTTTCTAGCGTGATAAAAAATTATTACCTATGGTAAAGTGTGACACTTCATTTGAAAGCTAATTTTATTAGTACTACAACCAAAGATATTATAAATAAAGACTTTTTTGATTTCAATGAAGGCGTAACACCTTCGGTTGTACAAAAAAATGGGGTACAGTTAGAAGTGTTACAATATCTCGATGATTTAAGAAAAAATCTTACGATGCTAGATAGCTACCTCTTGATGAAAAAAGTGTTTTTTAAATATAATACGACACTTCCTTCTTCTGGGCGGGCCCGTTGATAGATTATTCTCCTTTGCCACAATTTTCAATGCTCCCAGAAGGCATGCGCTGTCGGACAGAAATTTTAAAAAACTTGTTATGAAAAGTAACAATGTAAACATTTTATGAATAATAATTATTATAACTAGATCTTGCAAATCAGGCCTCATTACTTTTTGCCTGCTTGATGAAAAGTAAAAAATAATTTAACACCAAATATTTTTATTACATTCTGTGGTTTACTCTTGTTAAAAAATATGTTTCAAGGTTATGATATTTGAAAAATTAGTTTTAAACTTTTATGAAGTATCCTAACTTAAATGACAAAAATAAAGAGGTATCACATAATTTTTAACGAGAGTTGATTACCGCACCGAATGTAAATAAAATGTTTAGTGTTAACTATTTTATCTTTTTGATTAAACGGCCCCAGACTAATGATGCCCGATTTGTATGGTATGATTAGGTAAAATATAAAAGTACCTGTGCGTAGGTACACGAACTTTTGTATTTTTGTTCCAAATTAATAAACTTTTAAAAGTTCACACTTTATTATTAACCTACCAGTTCCACTTTTGATACTACTTATCGATTTTGTCTTTTCCCTTAAGTTAAGAAGACCTTAAATGGTATAAAAAACAATACACTTAGGGCCGATTGTATAATGCTTACTTAAAATTAGGCTCAGTTTTAGGTAATACATGTCAATTTCCGATTCTATATGTGCAGTCTAATGTTTGGGGAAACAAGCTCTAAGTGCTAAATGGTGTTTAGACTGTACCTATGCTATATAAAATTTTTCATGTGTCACCTCAAACCGAGTTTATCTTTAATTATTAAGATTTATACAACCCGCCCTTAAGATATCTCTAAATTTAAGGAATCCTTAAGAAACTCGTTGCAAACGACTGTTCCAGACTACATAAAATCATAAAGTGTTACTTATGGTTGAACTCGTATTGAATAGTAGATTCCAATAATGACTGAATTTACAGGGTGATGAATTTGAAAAACCAAAGTGACTAATAATTTAAGAGAAACGGCAAATCTGGCAACATTGCAATTATCAAATCTGGAATCACCGTATCCCAAAATAGGTGTACCCTAAATTTTGTACAATTAGGACTAGCAGTTTACGAGATAATTGGCTGTTTCCAGACTTTTGGGCCACTCTGTATAACTGGATGAGATATTTACTAATTATCGATAAGTTAATAACAATCTAATGTAAGAATAAAAATCAATCAAATTATATCGATATA